TTAATTGGATTGGATATATTTTTTCATGTTTGTTTTGATTTCTTGCATCAAGTTTCAAAAAAAAAAGTTTAACTTTGATTTTCTTTTCTTCTCTTTTATTTTATTTTCTCCGGTTTAAATTTTCTTGTTCTTTCTTGAGGACAAGAAAGGTTTAAGCTTGGGGAGATTTGTTAGGTGCATTTCATGTACCCATTTTGTAGCTTTATTTCATAAAAGTACATTGCATATAGGCTTAAACTCATGCATTTTGCATGTTTTTCGGGATTCTTCATGAGGCAATTTCATTCAAATACTTTTGTGATATTTCAGGGACTTTTGGAGGTAGGATATTGTTGGAGGAGGTAAATAAAAGTTGCGGACAAAATTTCAGGACTTGCGGAGCACCGAGGAGCAAGATATCAAAGAAATGAAGATTTTGGGTTTACAGAGATTTACACGGCCGTGTAAATGCAAGCCTTGCGTTTACGCGGGCCGTGTAAACGTAGATTTCTGCACAGTATATTTTTGCGTTTACGCGGGCCGTGTAAATGACAGTGTTAATTTACGCGGGCCGTGTAAACGTAAATGCGGGTTTTAAAGCAGTTTTTCACCATTTTTAAACGGGGGAACCGACTTTTTACTTTGGGGGGTCGACTTTTGGAGTAGAGAAGGCGATTTTCTTGAGGATTTTGAAGTTGATTAACACTTGGGAACATTTGATTTCATTTTGTAAGAACTTTAATTTCATTTTCTAGATTTGTGATCTTGTTCTAGTCATGAGTGGCTAGAACCCTAGATTCTCCAACTTTATGTCTTGACTTCTAGTTGTGATTTCAATCATATGACTTGATGTTTTCTTTCAATTTTCTATCTAGTGAATTTGATTTTGTTTCAATCGAATGTTTGATTCTAATTGTGATTCTTATTGGCCATTTGAATTAGGGTTAGATCATTCAAGTTATCTAATTGCAAAATCCGTAATTGTTTTGTAAATTGGACTAGGTAACAAGCACTAAACTGATTTCTATTGAATGAATTTAGTGTAAATCTTATTGACACATTCTTATGCTCCCGAGCTTATGAGGAGTATTGAGTGTTGTTGGGAACATTCACATAAAGTTTAATGCAATCTTTCAACCTAATTCTAAGAGTTTGTTTAGATTAGATTGGTAAGGTTAGGATTAATCAAAGAGCTTGTTTTGGTTAATTATTGTGGTGAATGGGAAGTGTTAGAGCTTGTTAACACTTTCAAGTACCAACTTAGATAGAATTAAACAAATATCTTGTCATCCATGGAATCACATTGCTAATTTGTCTTGCATAGAGTTGGAGTACTTACAAATCTTGAACTTATTTCACTTAATCAATCATTTACTTATTGCTTTATTCTATAGTTTAAATCATTGCTTATAAATTCCCCCCATTCTGAGACCATTTTTGTACCTTACGCAAAAAGGTATAAACACTTGTCCCGTGTCTCTGTGGATCGGCCCTACTTACCTTGTACTACGTTTTTAGTGCATAGTAGTAGTGTTTAAGGAGTCATTTGTACCCTTTATTTGTTGGGTTTGGCACGCCTAACAACTCTCCAACCCGGTTGATGAACGAACCTTTAATCCCTTGAAGAATAACCACTTCTACCTTACCCGATATCTGAATTCTCGAATTGGTTTGACTCCCCGACAGACCGCCCATATTGAACCACTACCGAGCCCTTTCCACTTTGAATTCCAATCTAAACAAAACACTTCCAACCCTTGATTATCTTGTTGCTTTTACTGGGAATAAAATCACTGACCATTCATTGTTGCAGAATACTTTCACCTGGCAGAAGGATCAGATCATCCTTCGAGTAGAAGACTCATCCCTACAACGGTTAGACTCAAACGAGAGCTGTGCAGAAGGTTCAAATCAATTACTCTGAGATTATTTAATCCAAGCTATAAGTGACTTATCATATTCTCCGAATAACAAGCGACCCCATGCACGAGTCCCAAATCACTAATAACGCCTCGACTCATCTTGTTGCCCCCTAGCTACTTTCTACAAGCAGTCGAGACCTCCCTGGTCCCAACCTACCTGCCAACTAACTGATACACTGGATTCCCACTTGGTTGCTGAGATGACTAATCTCACACACTCACACCATGCGACTTCCGAACGAAGGCCTCGTCTGACAAGAATTGTTCTAGCTATCTCGCCACTATGGCTCCAACAACCTTTCTGATCCAACCGATCATAATCAACCGTCAACATGACATCACCAAGTCCAATGGTAAAAGTGAATGCTACCTGGCCATCTATAGTCTTATATCACGACAGGCCTCATACGGCCCACCACTTCCTTGATCCCACAAAATTGTTGTGGCCTTCAGTCTCACATCCTGACCCACCCTGGTCTAATCCCACCTGAAGACACAGAAAACAAAAAACCAACACATAAAAAACACATATTATCAACTCATAAATTCAACGAACCAAGTAATTTGTTCCAAAAATGTAGGATATTATTGGATGTAGAAATACATTGGTAATAAGTAAAGTGATTACTAGCGCATTCACCTCCACTCTTCTTTTATCTTTATCTTTCATCTCGTTACACAGCTAGCGAGCCTGTCTTAGCGATGTTTATAGCGAGTTTATTGGGAATGGCTTTGGCGAGGGTAGCGAGCTGGAGGCGAGTCCCTGGCGAGGGCCACTCCCTCCAGCCTAAGCGCCTTAAGAATCTGATCATTAAAAGAAGTAGAACACTAAAAATAGGAGTGGTTGAACTTTGAATAAGCGTGACCTGAAATCTTCAATAAAAATAATAAAAATAAAAAATAAAAACCCCACCAGAAAATCATCGAAGGAGAAAGTAGAGGGGTCATCGTAGAAAGAGATACAACTAAAAAGTTGAGACTATATTCATGAGTAGGGATGTAGACGAGCCAAGCTATTCGTGAGCTACTCATGATCGGCTCGTTAAAAGCTCGACTCGAAACCGATTTTAAACGAGCCCGAGCCGAGCTCGAGCTTAATATTAAGCTTGTTTATTAAACGAATTCGAGCTCGAGCCTATATATAATATAATTTATTATATTTTTATATATTATAATAAAAACTATTTGGAGAATTAGAGATTTAGGGTATTAATAAACGAGCTTCTTAACGACCTTGAATCGAACTTAAGCTTAATTAGGCACGTTAGACAAAAAAACAAGCCGAACTTGTATAATTCTTTACGAGCTCGAGCTGAGCTCAATACAAGAAATCTCGAATCGATCCGAGCTCAAGCTCGAGCCTCGTATAACTTAAACGAGCCCGAGCCGAGCTTGTCCAGGCTCAGGCTTGGGCTCGACTCGGCTTGGATCGTTTGCAGCCCTAATCATGAGAACATGGAAGTGATGAAGAGGAAGGGAAACGGTGGAGCATAACACATATCCCTCCCTCTGAAACGTTTCATATAGAATCCATGAGGTACTTATCCTATCTCTTAAAATATGGCTTTTGTGAACACCTACCTAGGGATGTGCTTCGGGCCGGAGCCGACCCGCACCGGACCAGACCCGAATAACCCGAACCCCGAATTGGATGAAAAGTTGGAACCGAAACCCGGAACAATTATACTAATACGGGACTGGTTCAGTTCGGGTGATACAAGTTTTGATTCGGTTATTCACCCAAAAGGACCGAAATAACATGTACATTATGCTTTTGAACCGACATAACCCGAATAACCTAAATAAACCGAAATGAACCGAATAACCCAAATAAGAAAATTCTATATCTAGTTCAGTGTATATATATATATATATATATATATATATATATATATATATATATATATATATATATATATATATATATATATATATTAAACATCCATAATTCATATTCCAAAAATCCATAATTCATAATTAAACATTAAACATTCAAATTACAATATGAATCTTAAGTTTTTTTTTTCAAAATAACAATCACCAAATACAAATTAATTATACGAGAATATTGATTGATTGCTTTTCCTTTCCACCTCCATTGTTTATTGCGTTTTCCAACTTTTTTGCGACGTCACCATCTTTCAAAACTTCATCAATGTTGTCCACAATTGGTATGTCAATACACAATACACAAGAGCCAAGAGGGATCGATCAAGTGACTATTTAATTTCCGGGTTGGTCATTTTGACCCGATTAAACATTTCGGACCCAATAACCAGAGAACCGAATTGGGCTAAAATAGATACCCGAGAACCGACCCAAATAACTTATCTGGTCCTAATTCGGGCCGGTCCGTTTCGGGTTTCGGTTTCGGTTCGGGTACTCAGTCAAAATACACATCTCTACACCTACCGATTAAAATTTGGGAATAAGTGATCGTATACCTGTATAAAGGTGGCACATACTCCAACTAAATGGACAGAATGGTGAGGATAGTTTCTTCGCAGCCTAAAAATTATGCCCAATCGATTCTTATAATCACGGGATTCAGCCTAATAGGTAAGTTTAAAGGAGCTCGATAGCATACAACATAGCCCAAAAATAAAAAACAATTTTGGACTATCCATATCCAAAACCTAAACCCGAATGTCATAAGTGAAATGGACTCACAATTGCCTTTATGTCGTACTGGAAGCCTAGAAAATCCTACAAAAATCCCTAAAAAATCCTCAAAATTCTAGAAAAATTAACATAATTCCTCAAGTTTCCCACCACCCACTTTTCTCAACATCTAAAATGTAAGGCTTCTATATATATACAAACATAAGATGTATATCATATCGGCTATTTTCACTCTTGTTCATTCTTTGATTCTAACATCCAAAACACATGGATTTGGCATACCAATTGTACAAACTTAGTCTAGTCACATTGGGGAAATATTTGATCTTTAAACCCCATGCATGGCCGACAACCGATGGTTCCTTCAATATCTTCAAAAATCTTCATCATCCCATTCCCATATATCGCTTCGTTATGTTTCCTTCCACGCCGTTAATTTAACAAACTTTGGTTGTTTTCTTTATCTTTATCATTATCATGAACCCTGGTTTGATTCCCCTGATTGTATATCTATATTTTTTTTCCAATTCCCTCATCGACACCGTGGCCCAGCCGGTCTTCGCCGGCCCGCCTCCATTAGCTTTAAACTGCGGCTCAAAAGACGGTGGCAATGATGCTAATAATCGCAAATGGGAATCAGATACTAAATATCTGGTGGTCGCTGACAAATCGGTTTCATCAACCGCCTTAACACAGGAGGCGTCGCTTTCCTCAGACCTACCCTACATGACCGCCAGGATCTTCAATGGAGAAACCTCGTACAAATTCAACGTTAATTCCACTAGTCGATACATCATTCGACTCCATTTCTATCCTTCCAACTACCCTGATTACAACATTTCCAATTCCTATTCCGTCGTCACCACAGGTGCAATTACGTTATTGAGAAATTTCAGTGCCTTCATAACAGCGGAAGCACTTTCACAAGCCTACCTAATCAGGGAATACTCGCTAGCGGCTTTTAATTCCGATTCGATCACCCTCACCTTCAAACCCGACGCCGATAAATCTTTTGCGTTTGTTAACGGAATCGAACTGATAACAGAGCCGGAACTGTTCGACGATCAGGCGGGGTTAGTCGGGGTAGCAGATACTGCTGGCACCATCGACGGCGTATCCTCAAATATGCAGAACATGTTCAGGTTGAATGTTGGTGGACAATTCATTCCTCCAACGAATGATTCTGGTGGTCTGATGAGGAGTTGGTATGATGATACACCTTATATGTTTGGTGCCGGTACCATCAGTCACGTAGGAAACGTTACAATTGATTACAAAGACCTTCCGGAGGCCACAGCTCCGGCAGACGTTTATCGGACGGCAAGATCTCAAGGACCAGATCCCAATATCAATAAACAAAGCAATGTGACATGGGTGTTTCAGGTTGATGCCGATTTTACTTATCTTGTTAGGTTCCATTTTTGTGAATACCATCTTGATAAAATTAACCAGCGGGTTTTCGAGATAAAGTTGAACAATGAAACCGCGTTTAACACCGCCGATATTATTGCATGGACCGGAGGAAAAGGGATTCCTACGAGAAAAGATTATGCGGTTTATATTGGCAATAAGCTTGGCATCGACGCTGAATTATGGGTGACTCTGCATACTAACATTGATTTGAAGCCTGAATTTTATGATATTCTTTTAAACGGGTTGGAGGTTTTTAAACTGAGTGACTCGCAATCAAACCTCGCCGGACGGAATCCTGTTCCATCTAAAATGATGCAGAAACAGTTGATCGAGAATCGAGCAGCTCATGACCCGAATAGAAAATGTAGCAAGCAGGTTATAGTTGGCGGTGCTGTTGGTGGAGCCGCAACAGTCGGGGTTGCAGCGGTGGTGTTATTCATGATTCGCAAGAGAAGAAGAAGAGTGTCGGGATCGGATCCAGGTGCCACTAGTTGGCTTCCGGTATACGGTAACTCAGCTAGCAAATCGACTACCTCCGGGAAGAGCCATGGAAGTTGTAGTTTGTCAACAGATGCCGTCTGTAATTGCCGATATTTCTCATTGATGGAGATCAAACGAGCGACTAATAATTTCGACGAGAGTAAGGTGGTCGGGGTAGGGGGTTTCGGGAAGGTTTACAAAGGTGTGGTTGACGGCAACATAATGGTGGCTGTGAAAAGATCAAACCCATCTTCGGAACAAGGAGTTAACGAATTTGTGACTGAGATCGAGATGTTATCCAAGTTGAGACACCGGCATTTGGTTTCCTTAATTGGATTCTGCGAAGAAGGGAACGAAATGGTGTTGGTTTATGATTACATGGGTAAAGGAACGTTACGAGAACATCTTTACAAGGGAAACAAGATTACGCTTTCATGGAAACAAAGATTAGATATTTTGATCGGGGCCGCAAAAGGACTTCACTATCTTCACACCGGAGCAAAGTACACAATCATTCATAGAGACGTCAAGACAACAAACATTCTGTGTGACGATAAGTGGGTGGCGAAAGTGTCGGATTTCGGGCTATCGAAGACGGGTCCAAACATGACTCAGAACCATGTTAGCACCGTTGTGAAGGGCAGTTTTGGGTATTTAGATCCAGAATATTTTCGACGGCAACAGTTGACGGAGAAATCAGATGTTTATTCGTTCGGTGTTGTTCTTTTTGAGGTGTTGTGTGCGCGTCCTGCCCTAAACCCTAGTCTTCCAAAAGAACAGGTGAGTCTAGCGGATTACGCTTTGCAATCGGCGAGGAAAGGGGCGTTGGAGGAGATGGTGGATCCCCAATTGAAAGGGAAGATTAAGCCGGAGGCGTTCAAGAAGTTTACCGATTGCTCGTTAAAGTGTTTGTCGGACCATGGGCTAGAACGACCGTCAATGGGAGATGTGTTGTGGACTCTGGAGTCTGTGCATCGGATTGAAACCAAGGCAGAAGAAACAAGAAATAGTCCCAAATCATCGTCGTCTTCAAGTGGGATGGTGGAAGTGCCGATCGATAACAATGACATGATTGCTATGCATCTTAACACTCTAAACCTTGATAACGATGATGACGATGACTATGACGACCCCGGGGATGATGCTGCCATCTTTTCGCAGATTATAAATCCAAAAGGACGATGATAGTAATAATAATCGAGGAGAGAAACAAGTTGATTTTGTAAAATCGGCGTTCGCACTTGCCCATGGGGAAACCTTAATCCAAGAATTGGGAATGTAAATGAGAATTACTAAAAGCCCAAAAAATGTCGTTTCTTTGGATAGATCTCGAATGATTCAGGGCGTAAAACTGACGTAATATCCAGTATCCACCTTAACACAACAAGTATTTTTGGCGGAGTTTATTGTAAAATCAATATGAAGTATAGAGTATAGTGTGCTTTTTATTTTTGAAATATTGTTGTAATCTTGAAAAGTTTCGCCTTTGTTTGTGAGGAAAGCCAAATCATACATCCAACCCAAAAAGGATTTTTATTTCATGAAACTGTCGACAATGGCATGCATATAACAATATTGGTAAAAAGGGTTGAACATAAGAATATTGTAAACAAAAAAAAAAGTTATATGAATGATATGTGACAGTGATGAATCTAAAATAAAAACCATATGGTTTCCTAAAGAGGTTCAACCTTATCACTTCATGAGAAAACAAAGTTCAACAAGATTGGTCTAACAAGAATAATAAATAGGTCAAACATGTATAAAAATTAGTTGTGAAATGAACTACTTTAACCTGGTCACTATTTTTTTTTTACTAAAACAAATATAAACTTAAATATAGTCGATCATATCTAAGTCTGAACAAGTTTCATGGTATGAATATAGGAAAGAGACGACAACTATTTATCATGAAAAACCTCTCATCATTTTCTTTTCAGAGTCGATGTTGAGACTCCTTCGTACCACTATATATGTTATGTGTTCTATTGTTTATAATAAATACTTTTGTTTCCTTCAATTTTTAATGATTTTTTTGTATAATTTCTAATACAATTTATAAAATTATGTGGGTCTTTCATCCTCCCTTTGCATAAATTCACCCATTAACATATGTTTGGAGTAGTCTGTATGTTTGGTGTTTAACTATTTTTTAAATCTGATTGTATATTTTTATTGTGGTTTTGATCACCGCTATACATGAGATGACTATATCGCCCCTATCAATTTCGTTTTTAATTTGTTTATTATTTGTAATTATATAAGTAAAATAGGCTCATCCCACCTTCTCTAACCCCAACACCCACCACTTTGTTCTTCTTCTAGTAGGTATTTTAATAAATAAATAAATAATTGTAATGAAAAAAAAAGTTACAGAAGGACAAAATAGTCTAATAGTTTTTTTCTCTTTTAACAGGTTCCAAAATTGAAACAAAAAAAATATGTTGGTCCGAGTTTAAACAAAAAAATAGTTGGGGACATTCACATAAGCCCAATGTGATTTTTTTTTATTACTAGGTTACAACCCGTGAAAACCATAGACAAAAGATTAATTTTTTTATTGAACTAATAAGATATAAGTTTTGTTTGAACTTTTATATTGATTATTTAAAATTAATATGTAGTATATTTTTATTTGAATATCCAATATCCTCCCTAATAAATAAAAATAGTTTTGCCACTTGTCAATCTCTCATTAATTTTGACACTTATCATTTTGTGGTATTTTTGAAATAAATATTATCCACTTGTCAGTTTCTGTTTTGTTTTAATTTTTAAAATTAAAGTCATATACTTATATATGTAAAGTATTAAATAAAATATATATGATATTAAATTGCAATGAATACGTTTTTTCCTTTATTATTTTAAAGTTTTACATTAAAAAATATTTATTGTTTACACTTTAATGTTTAATCTTTTTTTTAAATCAACTCATATAACAACGGATCTCACACCTAATACGTTATATATGTGAAGACATTTAATATAATTATGATTTACCAATAACTTCTACAAACATATCATAGAATATGTCAATACTCGTAGATGATTATTGGTTGGGAATATAGAAAAAAAAATACCAACTGAGTTATTAGATGGAGTTGTTATGACCATTTCATAAGAAATAAAAGAGAATTCATATAAAGGTTTATGAAATTTCAAACACTCCTTAACATATGTTTTCCAATAGAAGTTTATTTTTTCTTTTACATAATTAATTTTATAAGTTGCTCTATTAGGGGCAATTGTGGGGGATGTTATCAAATTAGCAGAATCTTCCACAAGTTTCAATTGCACTCTCGAGAGAAATCCTTTGGATACACGCTAGCTTGAATTTTTGTACCCTATTCACATAAACAATTTATATTTAGGAAAAGAATTATTATTGTATGGTGTATAAAAATAAATTACAATAATGTAAATAAATATTATAAAATTCGAGATTACCATCTCATCAATAAGTATCAATTCAAGGGATTTTGGGATATTTGGGGTTGCATCAATGATGATTTCCATAAACGGATTAAACAAACTTTTAGGTGCTGTTTGTTTTTTTGAAGCCAAAATGTCTGCAGTCTGCGGACCACATCTGCAAGCCTCTGTGGCAGAAGAGGTGGACCAAATGTCTGCAGTCTGCAATATAAAGACTGTTTGTTTTTAACGTCTGCGACTGTTGAAATAATTTGATTTTTCAAACTTAATTTTATGTCATAAACATTAAAAATGCATTTTCAGCTAAAAAGGAAAGAAGAAAAAAAACTGCACAGTGGCCCATGTTTTTTTTTTAATTTATTTATGTTAAAATGGGGTCTGAAGACCTTTGAAGACACTGACTCATGTCTGCGCCAGGAAGACCTCGCGCAGACGTTTTTTGATCTGCGCACTTCCAAAAAACAAACAGTCTGCGACGACATATGTCTGCGCGTTGTCTGCGCGGCGCAGACAAAAGTGGTTGTGCAGATCTTCATAAAAAAAACAAACAGCCCCTTAGTGTATAATCATCTTTCAAATTATCTAAGTCTCGTATAAAAGTGATGTTTAAGGCAGCCATTGAGTCTATAAATATAAAACATAAATTAAGTATTTCGAATCACAGTAATAGGTATATAGTTTAATAGAAACCTACTTTTCCTTAAAATTAATTGAAAAGTAAAATAAAAATATGTTGCTTTTATTACAATTTAGCATGAAAAATAGTTTTTTTTAATAAAAATCACATGTCATAAGGTACATTGTTGTTAACTAACACACAAAAGACATATAACATCATGTATAATGCAAACAAAAAAACAAAAAAAACAAAAAAAAAACAATAAACAAAAAACAAAAAACGTCTTTACAGGTATTTACTGTATTGACAAAAAAGGAAATGTTATTTACTTTAATTAAGTTACTATTTAGTGATAATGAGTAAATCAGAAGGAAAAAAAAAACATGTTTGCCTTTTATGACCTTCCCATTACAGTTGCGGGTAAAGATTCATTGTGATACTTTTTTGCTAGAAAATTATAAATAGGGATGAGCATAACCGGGTACCCGCCTATTTTAGCTGGAACCGGAACCGGTCCCGGAACCGGCGGTTCTGAAATTATTAGTATTGGAACCGGAACCGCTTACACCGGTTCCTAGAAAATTAGAACCGCTCCCGGAACCGCCAAGACCGGTTCTGGTACCGGGTACCCGGTTTTTTGAATATTAATTTTTTTTTATTTTATACATGCCATTGAAATTAACTTTTATAAGCAATAGGAGTTCAAGATATAAAGTAAAACAATTAAAAAAACTTAATCTTAAAAACAGCAACAAGTGGGATTTAACAAGTCAGCAACAAACTACAAAACGAACAAAACTTAAACAGTCTCAAAACAGCAAAACAACACAAAACAGTAATAGAAAAACAACACAAAACAGCAAAAACAACAGCTCAAAACAGCAACAGCATCAACATCAAAAAGAAATTCATAAACCATGAGCATCATCATCGAAGTCTGCAATCACAAAACCAGTCACATTAGCAAACTAATGAATCATATAACTTCAGAAAAAAACAAAAATATTTGATTAAAACAATGAACTTACAGATCTTGTTGAAAGCAACAATATCACAGCTCTAAACAAACTCATTAATGGCTTCCTCACAAAGTATTTCTTCAATAAGCGTATCAACAGACACCAAATCATCAACAATAGTCATCATGATCTGAAGCTTCTAGATCCCATACCTTCTTGGATCATAGTCCTTCCCAAATATCACATTATCACGTATAGTTCCAGAGAGAATCCAGGGTATCTACATATCCAAAGATAGGATAACTTTGAAAATTCTGTGATCCAAAGTTTGACATCAATAAATATATTAAGTCAAGCTTTTTAAACCTGTGGGACATAGGAAACAGATCTACTTGAATGTATAGATCCCTTGGTAAGCTTCATTTCTCCCAGGATAGTGTTCAGCAAGGATGATTTACCTGAACCAACCTGCAATGCAAACATGTATTTCATTTAAATACTGATAGCCATAGGTAGAGATAAGTCAAATGAGTATGTTTGACTTTGACCTTACTTATTACTCTAATATACAAAAAAATATGTGAAAGAAATAGCAAAAGACCTCCACATGTCATGAAAACGGTTGGACATATTTATAGTTCAATCAGCATCTAATGACATAAATGTTTGGATTTCCCCTTCAGAAAATTTTGATCTTTCTGCCAGGCTAACATGGAGACACTGAAAAATGTATATATATATATATATATATATATATATATATATACACAATTTGAGAACACGTAGTACTACCCCCCCTTGAATAACAAACACTTTTGCAAAATACCTAAAAAGATATGACACCAAGGGTGGAGGGTGAAATACGAAATGAAAGAATACCTTACATTGAAGGTATAACACCAAAAATAAAAATTTAATTAATCTGCAAATGGATCATCAAAAGGATCTTGAGCATCTTGAAAATTATTTTTGACAGATGTGGGAGAATTTTCTGAATTAGTTGGAGAATTGCGAATTTCTTGAAGTAATTGTTGTAGATCTTCAGGGGAAGAATTTGCAGCGGCATGAATTTTGCTAATAAGATTAGCATATGGAGAAGATAGACTCTTGATAAGATTCGCTTCAATTTCTGGCTTTTGATTATACATTGATTGATAATGATTGAAAACAGC